GATGTTACAAGCGGATAAAGGTACCCCTGTGTAACTTCGATGTCAGCCATTGGCAGCTCATGCGTGACACCTGCCGCTTGCTCAGGCCCTTTGAGGAGGCCACGCTATTCGTGAGTCGGCAGGACTATGGGATGAACGACGTCATTCCTCTGTTGCACGTCCTGGAACAAATGCTGTTAACAATGGCTGGTCAGGGTGCGGTAGACGTGGCGCACAGATCTCAACGCCACATGACCCCTGTGGGGGCAGGACAGGAAGAAGAGGAGGAGGTAGAGGAGGACATTTGTGCTCAGGAATTATTGAGTGAAATGGGTGGTTTTTCCACTCAGCGGACAGGAGTGGAGGAGCAGGAGCATCTGGTAGAGGAGGAGGAGGAGGAGACAGAGGACCCAGACGCACCGTGGCAGTATGCTGTGGAGATGGAGGCAGGGAGTCCCTCGCATTCCTTGGCACAAATGGCCCATAGCATGCTCGGTTGCTTGCGTAGCGACAGCCGAATAATAACCATCAGACAGAGGGATGACTTTTGGCTGTCCACCTTGTTGGACCCTCGCTACCGTTCAAAAATGGTGGCCTTTTTCACACCTGCTGAGAGGGAGGCCAAAATAACGTACTATAAAAACCACCTATGTAGTCAGTTGGTCTCTGCCTTTGTGCGCCAACGTCCATCCTCAGACACTGTGGGCCCTGTGCGCTCGCGTTCCGCTGCCATGGCAGCAGGGGAGGGGGGTGGGGTGGTAGGAGCAGTGGCAGCTCCACCAGCAGCGGCTGCCTCAGTCTGCAGTCGATGATGAGTAGCTTTCTTCACCAGCGCAGTGAGGAAAAACTACTAACCAGCCGCAGCAGCAGCAGCAGCAGCATCAGGTGGACCTGGAGCAGGACCTCAAACAACAGGCTTGGGCCTACTTGGACAGCACCCTGCCAACCGAGGTAGACAATCCCCTTGACTACTGGGCAACGAAACTTGACCTTTGGCCCCAACTAGCTGAATTTGCCCTTGAAAGGCTGTCATGCCCGGCCAGTAGCGTGGCATCGGAGCGCGTGTTTAGTGCGGCAGGAGGTATTGTAACTCCGCGGAGGCACGACTGACTGTCCACCCAAAGTGTGGAGAGACTCACGTTTGTGAAAATGAATCAGGCGTGGATTAGTCTGGATTTCAAACCACCAGTTCCTGACACAACTGACTAAATCCGCCATGAATCATGCCCCAAACATGTGCCACTTTCAGGTCTCCTCACACTGCTGTGTGTGTTCCATTTTTTGTCATAGGGTGCTGGCAGATTACGGGCCTCCCATAGCTGCTGCCAGGCCCCTAATCTGCCATGGGCCCCTATATACCGCCTCCTCATGCTGCTGCCAAGTCCAGAGTCTCTCATGGGTCCCTGTACGGCCTCCCATTGCTGCTGTCTCCATCGCCACACTCTGCATGTGCCACTTTCAGGTCTCCTCACACACTGCTGGTGTGTTGAATTTTTTGACATAGGGTGCTGGCAGATTACGGGCCTCTATATAGCTGCTGCCAGGCCCCTAATCTGCCATGGGCCCCTATATACCGCTCCTCATGCTGCTGCCAGGTCCAGAGTCTCTCATGGGTCCCTGTACGGCCTCCCATTGCTGCTGTCTCCATCGCCACACTCTGCCATGTGCCACTTTCAGGTCTCCTCACACACTGCTGGTGTGTTGAATTTTTTGACATAGGGTGCTGGCAGATTACGGGCCTCCCATAGCTGCTGCCAGGCCCCTAATCTGCCATGGGCCCCTATATACCGCCTCCTCATGCTGCTGCCAGGTCCAGAGTCTCTCATGGGTCCCTGTACGGCCTCCCATTGCTGCTGTCTCCATCGCCACACTCTGCCATGTGCCACTTTCAGGTCTCCTCACACACTGCTGGTGTGTTCAATTTTTTGACATAGGGTGCTGGCAGATTACGGGCCTCCCATAGCTGCTGCCAGGCCCCTAATCTGCCATGGGCCCCTATACCGCCTCCTCATGCTGCTGCCAAGTCCAGAGTCTCTCATGGGTCCCTGTACGGCCTCCCATTGCTGCTGTCTCCATCGCCACACTCTGCCATGTGCCACTTTCAGGTCTCCTCACACACTGCTGGTGTGTTCAATTTTTTGACATAGGGTGCTGGCAGATTACGGGCCTCCCATAGCTGCTGCCAGGCCCCTAATCTGCCATGGGCCCCTATACCGCCTCCTCATGCTGCTGCCAAGTCCAGAGTCTCTCATGGGTCCCTGTACGGCCTCCCATTGCTGCTGTCTCCATCGCCACACTCTGCCATGTGCCACTTTCAGGTCTCCTCACACACTGCTGGTGTGTTGAATTTTTTGACATAGGGTGCTGGCAGATTACGGGCCTCCCATAGCTGCTGCCAGGCCCCTAATCTGCCATGGGCCCCTATATACCGCTCTCCTCATGCTGCTGCCAGGTCCAGAGTCTCTCATCATGGGTCCCTGTACGGCCTCCATTGCTGCTGTCTCCATCGCCACACTCTGCCATGTGCCACTTTCAGGTCTCCTCACACACTGCTGGTGTGTGAATTTTTTGACATAGGGTGCTGGCAGATTACGGGCCTCCCATAGCTGCTGCCAGGCCCCTAATCTGCCATGGGCCCCTATATACCGCCTCCCTCCTCAGGTGCTGCTGCCATTGCTGGTCCAGAGTCTCTCATGGGTCCCTGTACGGCCTCCCATTGCTGCTGTCTCCATCGCCACACTCTGCCATGTGCCACTTTCAGGTCTCCTCTCACACTGCTGGTGTGTTGAATTTTTTGACATAGGGTGCTGGCAGATTACGGGCCTCCATAGCTGCTGCCAGGCCCCTAATCTGCCATGGGCCCCTATATACCGCCTCCTCATGCTGCTGCCAGGTCCAGAGTCTCTCATGGGTCCCTGTACGGCCTCCCATTGCTGCTGTCTCCATCGCCACACTCTGCCATGTGCCACTTTCAGGTCTCCTCACACTGCTGGTGTGTTCAATTTTTTGACATAGGGTGCTGGCAGATTACGGGCCTCCCATAGCTGCTGCCAGGCCCCTAATCTGCCATGGGCCCCTATATACCCTCCTCCTCATGCTGCTGCCAGGTCCAGAGTCTCTCATGGGTCCCTGTACGGCCTCCCATTGCTGCTGTCTCCATCGCCACACTCTGCCATGTGCCACTTTCAGGTCTCCTCACACACTGCTGGTGTGTTGAATTTTTTGACATAGGGTGCTGGCAGATTACGGGCCTCCTATAGCTGCTGCCAGGCCCCTAATCTGCCATGGGCCCTATATACCGCCTCCTCATGCTGCTGCCAGGTCCAGAGTCTCTCATGGGTCCCTGTACGGCCTCCCATTGCTGCTGTCTCCATCGCCACACTCTGCCATGTGCCACTTTCAGGTCTCCTCACACACTGCTGGTGTGTTGAATTTTTTGACATAGGGTGCTGGCAGATTACGGGCCTCCTATAGCTGCTGCCAGGCCCCTAATCTGCCATGGGCCCCTATATACCGCCTCCTCATGCTGCTGCCAGGTCCAGAGTCTCTCATGGGTCCCTGTACGGCCTCCCATTGCTGCTGTCTCCATCGCCACACTCTGCCATGTGCCACTTTCAGGTCTCCTCACACACTGCTGGTGTGTTCAATTTTTTGACATAGGGTGCTGGCAGATTACGGGCCTCCCATTGCTGCTGCCAGGCCCGTAATCTGCCATGGGCCCCCGTACCGACTCCTCATGCTGTGACGTTGCAACAAGGTGGAATTCAACCCTACATATGTTAGACCGCCTTTACGAACAGCAAAAGGCCATCACAGATTTCCTGATGTTACAAGCGGATAAAGGTACTCCCCTGTGTAACTTAGATGTCAGCCATTGGCAGCTCATGCGTGACACCTGCGCTTGCTCAGGCCCTTTGAGGAGGCCACGCTATTCGTGAGTCGGCAGGACTATGGGATGAACGACGTCATTCCTCTGTTGCACGTCCTGGAACAAATGCTGTTAATAATGGCTGGTCAGGGTGCGGTAGACGTGGCGCACAGATCTCAACGCCACATGACCCCTGTGGGGGCAGGACAGGAAGAAGAGGAGGAGGTAGAGGAGGACATTGGTGCTCAGGAATTATTGAGTGAAATGGGTGGTTTTTCCACTCAGCGGACAGGAGTGGAGGAGCAGGAGCATCTGGTAGAGGAGGAGGAAGAGGAGACAGAGGACCCAGACGCACCGTGGCAGTATGCTGTGGAGATGGAGGCAGGGAGTCCCTCGCATTCCTTGGCACAAATGGCCCATAGCATGCTCGGCTTGCTTGCGTAGCGACAGGCGAATAATAACCATCAGACAGAGGGATGACTTTTGGCTGTCCACCTTGTTGGACCCTCGCTACCGTTCAAAAATGGTGGCCTTTTTCACACCTGCTGAGAGGGAGGCCAAAATAACGTACTATAAAAACCACCTATGTAGTCAGCTGGTCTCTGCCTGTCTGCGCCAACGTCCATCCTCAGACACTGTGGGCCCTGTGCGCTCGCGTTACGCTGCCATGGCAGCAGGGGGAGGGGTGGGGTGGTAGGAGCAGTGGCAGCTCCACCAGCAGCAGCTGCCTCAGTCTGCAGTCGATGATGAGTAGCTTTCTTCACCAGCGCAGTGAGGAAACTAATAACCAGCCGCAGCAGCATCAGGTGGACCTGGAGCAGGACCTCAAACAACAGGCTTAGGCCTACTTGGACAGCACCCTGCCAACCGAGGTAGACAATCCCCTTGACTACTGGGCAACGAAACTTGACCTTTGGCCCCAACTAGCTGAATTTGCCCTTGAAAGGCTGTCATGCCCGGCCAGTAGCGTGGCATCGGAGCGCGTGTTTAGTGCGGCAGGAGGTATTGTAACTCCGCGGAGGACACGACTGTCCACCCAAAGTGTGGAGAGACTCACGTTTGTGAAAATGAATCAGGCGTGGATTAGTCTGGATTTCAAACCACCAGTTACTGACACAACTGACTAAATCCGCCATGAATCATGCCCCAAACATGTGCCACTTTCAGGTCTCCTCACACTGCTGGTGTGTTCCATTTTTGTCATAGGGTGCTGGCAGATTACGGGCCTCCCATAGCTGCTGCCAGGCCCCTAATCTGCCATGGGCCCCTATACCGCCTCCTCATGCTGCTGCCAAGTCCAGAGTCTCTCATGGGTCCCTGTACGGCCTCCCATTGCTGCTGTCTCCATCGCCACACTCTGCCATGTGCCACTTTCAGGTCTCCTCCACTGCTGGTGTGTTCAATTTTTTTTGTCATAGGGGTGCTGGCAGATTACGGGCCTCCCATGCTGCTGCTGCCAGGCCTGTGCCAATCTGGTGTGCCATAGGGGCCAGATTACGGGCCTCCCTGCTGCCAGGCCTGTAATCGCCATGGGCCCCCGTCCGCCTGGTCACGCTGCTGCTGGGTCCACAGTGTGACATGGGTCCCTGTACCGCCTCCCATTGCTCCCACTCTGCCATGTGCCACTTTCAGGTCTCCTCACACTCCTGCTGGTTTCCATTTTGTCATAGGTTGCTGGCAGATTACAGGCCTCCCATAGGTGCTGCCAGGCCCCAAATCTGCCATGCTCCCCCGTACCGCCTCGTCACGCTGCTGCTGGGTCCACAGTGTGACATGGGTCCCTGTACCGCCTCCCATTGCTCCCACTCTGCCATGTGCCACTTTGAGGTCTCCTCACACTCCTGCTGGTTTCCATTTTGTCATAGGGTGCTGTATGGCCTCCCATTGCTGCTGCCTCCACCGCCACACTGTGGCTCCACACTCTGGTTTTGGCCCCGTGACTGGCCAAATGAGTGAAGTGTGCGGTGATTCTAAGATCGACGGCACTCATCTGCATGTCATACTGACTGACAGTATTATTTCTCTTCCCCAGCAGACTCCAAGGGCATTTAAATTAAAGGTACAGTGTTCTGCACTAATATAAAGGCTCTCTGAAGCCTAGAAACACCCTTTTTTAAGTTAAATTCACAGCGAATATATTCGACTCGAATCGAATATTTTCCAATAATTCGCCGAATCAGTCGAATCGAATTTTTGAATACTTCGCTCATCTCTAGTATTATTTTGTTAAAAAAAAAAGCCAAATGTGAGAATATTAATTGGTTTGTGTGAAAGTTATAGAATCTACAAACTACGGTATATGTTTTTGAAAAATGATCAATCCTGATGTACTGACGGCTGATGTCATTTCTTGAGGCCCAAAAACACCATGACCAGGGGCGGACTGACCATTTGGAAATTTGTGCACTGCCCGAGGGCCCGGGGTCAGTAGGAGGCCCCATGAGATGCCCCTGGTACCTTTTTCATAGGCTTTTTTGAGTTGGGGCAAGGACATGGGCCCCATGATTCCCCTATTGCCCGAGGGCCCCATGAGTTGTCAGTCCGCCCCTGGCCAGGACAGTACAGATACTCCCCCAAATGACCCCTTTTTGGAAAGTAGACAGTCCAAGGTATTTAGTAAGAGGCGTGGCAAGTTTTTTAAAGCTGTAATTTTGGTCATAAATTTTTGGGAAAATTAAGAAGTTAATTAATTTTTGTCCACAATTTTTTTTTTAACATACTGTCACCAGTGCAGTACAGCAGCAGCATCATATAACTGGTGTAGCGGTGATCAGGGTCTAGTGATAGTATGTTAAAAAATAAAATACGTTTTAATAATTTTTTTATTCAATTCTTTTTATTTTTTTTTTATCTTTTAACATTTTTTATTTTGTACTATATACAAGCGTACCTCGGTTTACGAACGCCTCGGTTAAAATAATTTTCAATTTACGAATGAAAATCCATTGTAAATAATGCCTCGTTTTACAAATTTTTTTGCAATACGAACAGATTAATTGGTTTTCAATGCATTTACAATTTTTGTTTTTAATCATGTCCCTGTACAGCACTATCCCTTTAACCACTTTCACCCCCTTCCTGCCCAGGCCAATTTTCAGCTTTCAGCGCTATCACACTTTGAATGACAATTGCGCGGTCATGCAACACTGTACCCATATGAAATTTTTATCATGTTTTTGAGACCGATAGAGCTTTCTTTTGGTGGTATTTAATCTCCTCTGGTTTTTTTATTTTTTGTGAAAAAAAAAAACAACTGAAAATTTTGAAAAAAAAAGTTTTTTTTCTTAGTTTTTGTTATAAAATTTTGTAAATAAGTGATTTTTCTCCTTCACTGATATTCATGTACTGTATATCTAGGTGACTGTGCCTGTACCTGCCTCCATCCCACCATGTACTGTGGCGGGTAGGCAGGACGTCCACCTACTGAGGACGGTGTCTCTCTAGGGGCGGGTTGCCGTTCAAAAACGCCACCCACATTTTCTAGTTGTGCGCGCTCCCTCGGAGCGCGCAGCACCGCGATCCGGTGCCCGCTGTGTCCTCCGGACACAGTGGAACACCAATCGTCGGACAGGACCTCTGTGTGAGGTCCCGATCATTCGATCACTGATTGGCCAATCAGTGATCATATGCAGAGTAGTAAGCAAGATGTTACTTGTGACATCATTGCTTACTACGTGTGAAATCTGTGAATGATCACATGGTACAAGGCTATTCACAATGACCAATCACAGCTTACTCAGTAGTTCTCAATGGCTGTAAGAATGCAGACAGAGAGAAGTAGAAATGATTGCTTTTACAGCATTTATGGGTGTAAAAGCAATCAGTGTAAAAAAAAAAAAAAAAAAATTCTTCATCACCCCCCACAAGTAGTACAGTGTCACCATGGCAACACTGTACTGCTAGGGTGACAGTATGTAAAAAAAAAAAACATAAATAATATAAAAAAAAGTAAAACATTTTTTTAAATATTATAATTTTTGGTTATAAACTAATTTGTGGTATTTTTGTTTTTTTTTTACTAGAAAGATAACAGAATACATTTTGGCCAAGATTTATGATGAAATATTATTTATTTGCAAAATGTTATAAAGAAAAACACTTTTTTTCAACATTTTTGGACTTTTTCATTTACATAGCAAAAAAATTAAAAATCCCAGCGATGAATAAATACCACCAAAATAAAAGTTTATCTGTCTCAAAAAATGCTAAAAAATTCATTTGGGTACAGTGTTGCATGACCGCGCAATTGTCATTCAAAGTGTGATAGCGCTGAAAGCTGAAAATTGGCCTGGACAGGGAGGGGGTGAAAGTGTCCGGACAGGAAGTGGTTAATATTACATTCCCCTTACTCATTCATAAAGGGCAGGGAGAGTATCTTGGTGCCCCCTTATTGTTAAAGGGGGGCTTCCAGATTTCCAGAAGAAATCCAGAAGAAGACCCTCGACCACCATTGAGCCAGGGTTGTAGGGGAGAGACCCTTGTCCTCATAGATGAATGGAATCCCCAGGCATTTGGTTTACAAACAGAACATTGCAGCCAGGATGCCGGCGGGCGCCATTTTTGTTTTTATTTCAACGAGTCGGCATCATCGTGACAACGCTGGATGCCGTGATTGATGATACATTACAACGATGCGACCATTTTTTTGGCTTTTTTTTTTTTTTTCATAAAGGAGTTGTAAAAAAAACTTGTTTTTTGTTCAATTAAACAATTTTTCAAAAGTTTGGTGTCTTTATTTTTTCTAAATGTAACCCATTAGTGAGTGGGTAGGGGAACAAGTACCCCTTATTCATTCACGAGGGGGGCAGCATATTTTTACAACCTGTGATTGTAAGATCTTGTTAATAAACTCAACATTACATTTAACGAGCACAGAATGTGTGCAGATCCAGGATCTCAGTTTTGGGATTGTAGGAACCCCTCATAATGGACACGGCATGTATGCAAACTCAAGAACTTGGGTGAAGGGTACGCTCATAATGCACACAGCAGGTATGTAGACTTGGAAAATAAGTGCAGGGATGGTGGGAACTCATCATAATAGGAACAGTGGGCGTACAGACCTGGGAACTCAGCACAGGGATGGTGGAAACCCCTCATAATGGGCACAGTGGCCGTACAGACCTGGAAATTCAGAGCAGGGATGGTGGGAACTCCTCATAATTGGCACAGCAGGCATACAGACCTGGTAACTCAGCACAGGGATGGTGGGGAGCAGGGGCGGACTGACAACTCATGGGGCCCCCGGGCAATAGGGGATTATGGGGCCCCTGTGTCCTTGCCCAAACTCAAAAAAGCCTATGAAAAAGGTACCAGGGGCATCTCATGGGGACCCCTACTGACCCCGGTCCTGCGAGCAGTGCCCGAGTTTCCAAATGGTCAGTCCGCCCCTGGTGGGGACCCCTCATAATGGGCACAGCAGATGTACAGACTCGGGAACTCAACACAGGAATGGTGGAAACTCCTCATAATGGGCACAACAGGTGTACAGACCTGGGAACTCAGCACAGGGATGGTGGAACCCCTCATAATAGGTACAGCAAGTGAGCAAACCTGGGAACTCAATACAGGAGTGGTGGGAACAGCAGATGTGCAGGACTTGAAAATTATGGTGGTGAGATCCCCTCATATTGGGTACAGCAAGTGTGCGGAATTAGGAACACCACATAATGGGAACAGCAGTTATGTAGACCTGAGAACTTAGAACATGGATGATGGGAACCCCACATAATGGGCACAGCAGATATGCAGACTCCAGAACATAGAGCATAGATGGAGGGAAGTCTTCCTAATGTAAGCAGCAGGTATGTAGACCCAGAAACTCAGCATAGGGATGGTGGGAGACCCTTGTAATAGGCATGGCAGGAATGCAGATGCAGAAACTCATTAAAGGCATGGTGAGACCCCCTCATATTGGGTACAGCAAGTATGTAGATCTAGTAACATAGTGCAGGGATAGTAATAGACCCTCACAATGAGAATGGAAGATGTGCAGACCTGGAAGCTTAGCATAAGGATGGAGCAAACTCCTCATACTTGCTTCAGCAGATGTGCAGAACCTAGCATAGGGATGGTGAGAACCCCTCATAATGGGCACAGCAGGTGTAAAGAGCTGGGAACTCAGAGCAGGGATGGTGAGAGCCCCTCATAATGGGAACAGCAGGTGTACAGACCTGGGAACTCAGCACAGGGATGGTGAGAACCCCTCATAATGGGCACAGCAGAGCAGGTATACAGAGCCAGAAGCTTAACATAGGGATGGTGATAACCCCTTATAATAGGCACAGCAGTTGTAAAGACCCGGGAACTTAACATAGGGATGGTGAGGACCCCTCATAATGGGCACAGCAGGTGTACAGACCAGGGAACTTAACATAGGGATGGTGAGGACCCCTCATAATAGGCACAGCAGGTGTACAGACCCGAGAACTTAACATAGGGATGGTGAGGACCCCTTATAATGGGCACAGCAGGTGTACAGACCCGGAAATTTAATATAGGGATAGTGAGGACCCCTTATATGGGGCACAGCAGATGTACAGACCCAGAAATTTAACATAGGGATGGTGGGAACCCCTGGGCACAGCGGGTGTGCAGACCTGGAAGTCCAAGAGAGAGAGAAGAGACTAGTAGGCGGTTTAACTCTCCAGAATTCCAGAATTCACCAATTGCTGAAAAATCTGTTAGGGCTGAATAAACCTTTAGCTGCAGTCCTTTCAGCATATGATAACCATTGCATGGTGTGTCAGGAACATAATCCAGTATATGTATCCACACAAGTAGCTTCATCCAATCACCATGGAAAGTCAAGGCAGATATTGGTGGTCCAAGAACAGGATCGATGCAAACGTTTGTACAGCCATCCTGTTATATTTTCCAAATCCAATCCCCGTAGTGTCATGAACTCAGGTGATGGTTGTTCACATCTTACATGGGTGAAGGTGAGTCATTTTGAGATGTTAAAATAGAGCTCTATGTGGGTAACAGATGGGGTCATAGGTCTCC